TGACGAGCCAATATTTTGTTCGATTGCCTTACATTTTCAGTCTCTCGCAGAATTGTGAATTACGCTATGGAAAATGTTTAGAAAGTGTTTATTGGTAACTTTCTGACGATGTCTATTGAGTTACGCACATTTAAATCATATGTAGTCTATACGACAATTATTAAACATTATCACCTGCTTGCTATGACAAATATAATTTTGTGGATTCCTGAAAAACAGGTACCAAATCAAGGTCCAGGCAAAAAATTAATCTTACCTCAGACCTCGGTCTCGGGCAACATGATTTTCGCTCATTGGAAGGCTGAATGGAATATTATAATGGAATATGTTATTATATGGAATAACGTACTTCATTTTTGTTCCACTATTTCAATCATACGCCAACCCTTCCTTGAGCGATATATGACAACATGTAGTGCAGCTGAGTGTTTGTGAGAGCTGAAATAAGCTCGCTCTACCGCAGCGCATGCACATCTGCACATTTCATGCGCAGTATTAATAAATAATGCTGAAACTACCGTTTTTTGGATCAACTAATAAATCATAAAAGGGGGGACGAATCATCAACATGGAGGCGGGTGCTAGGTGGAGACGAGAGAGGGTAGAAAATAAGTTGCTTGCGGCAGAGGCGGGGAATAAGAACAAGTGACTAGAACAGGTTCTATAAGGCGATACCGTTGAGGGCATGTTCCTAAGAATATGTTTTAGCTTTAACAGCTCGCAGAGCAAACACATCTTCTCTTTGGACTGCGTTTTATCGCGTCTCTTTGCCTGATAAAACATTCAGATTGTGCGCCGAGCAAAAGATTAAACACACTCACCCTTGTAAAGCTACAACGGCCTTCGCTTATGAGTGAAAGAGATTAGAGAGAGAGAGAGAGAGCGCGCGAGTAAAAATAACATCAAACATAATACGCGTAGACATAATATTATCCTCGTAAATCGTCTGCTGTCATGATTCACACACCGGATCTGTGTCCGCGTGCGTGTACGCGTGGCGTGTTAACATGCGTGTAGCGCTCGTGTGTCCGCGCGTGCGTGTACGCGTGTGTGTTAACATGCGTGTACGCTTGCGTGTACGTTGTGCGCACGTGCGTGTACGCTCGTGTGTCCGCGTGCGTGTACGCGTGCGTGTACGCTCGTGTGTCCGCGTGCGTGTACCCTTGCGTGTCCGCGTGCGTGTACGCGTGTGTGTTAGCATGCGTGTACGCTTTCGTGTCATCGTGCGTGTTAGCTTCGTGTGTCCGCGTGCGTGTACGCGTGCGTGTACGCGTGCGTGTTAGCATGCGTGTACGCTCGTGTGTCCGCGTGCGTGTATGCTTGTGTGTCCGCGTGCGTGTACCCTTGCGTGTCCGCGTGCGTGTACCCTTGCGTGTCCGCGTGGCGCTGTAACGGCTTGCGTGTCCGCGCGTGCGTGTACCGCGCCTTGCGTGTCCGCGTCGTGCGTGTACGCTTGCGTGTCCGCGTGCGTGTACGCTTGCGTGTCCGCGTGCGTGTACCCTTGCGTGTCCGCGTGCGTGTACGCTTGTGTGTCATCGGGCGTGTACGCTTGTGCGTCCGCGTGCGTTGTACGCGTGTGTGTCCACGGGCATGTACCTTGCCGGGTGTGTACGTGTACGCGTGTGTGTGTACCTTCGTGCGTATGCGTACGTGTGTGCACGTGCGTGTAAGCGTTTGTATACGTATATTTGTGTGTGTGTGTGTGTGTGTGTGTGTGTGTGTGTGTGTTGGTGTGTGTGTTGGTGTGTGTGTGTGGTGTGTGTGTGTGTGTGTGTGTGGTGGTGGGTGTATGTGTGTGTGTGTGGTGTGTGTCGTGGTGTTGTGTGCTTGTTGTGTGTGTGTGTGTGTGTGTGTGTGTGTGTGTGTGTGTGTGTGTGTGTGTGCTGTGTTCGTTCGTACGTTTCGTGTATAAAGCGATAAAAAATTAAAATATTATATTTCTTCTGAATTTCAAAAGGCAGTTGCTACAAAAACTTCTACAGCTCATTTCAAAACGTATACTTGACTTTATTGTTTCCATTGGAGTGAAAAATTCGCGCACGTACTTACTAAAGACCATGGTGAGTATACGATGCGGCGTATGTGCTGTGGCCAATATACAAAAGCGGTATTTTAGTGCGGTAACTGATGTGCTAATTCGATCAACGCTACGATTCGCAAGTAATCTGCTAAGCCTTAACACAAACTGAAGCTACAACTGCATAATTATAGACTGACTCATAACACTAAACGTCGAGAATCATCTACGCATATTTCCGCTTCAGTCTGCTTTCTCTGTTTACCGCCTCCTCCTCATTTTGTATTACTGTTACATCCATATTTATTTGAAGGCCAACGAAACGGAGGACTTGTTGCGCACGTGTCTCACGTGCTGTCGCGCCTCTATTTTTAACATTCTTCTCGTAGCCTGTGAGCTCCCTTTCCACCTGTGGACAAGATCGGAATCCTGCTCGCGTGGGTCGGCGAGCGTGGAAAGATTAGCATACTGCATAGCAAGCTCTAATATTAAAACACTCCCCCGCGAGTTTAACAACAAACAACAATCA